CCTCAGTAGTGTACATCCATGAATATTTATTTAGAAGAATGGAAGACACACTATTCAACATCTGTTAAACTTATTTGAATAATTATCCATTGGTCGGTAGTGTATTGAAAATGAAATTAATTAGTATTTCTATGCAAGCTAAAAAACAAATACAGCCTTCTGTTATGAATTTACTATTATTATATTACGTTAAAGAATGGTAAAAAAACCTTGTATTTTATCTAATGATGATAAATGTTATATTTTTAGTTGGAAAATACAGAAACCCAAATGGTTAAGAAAGAAATTGATGTGTCAAACACAATGAATAAATCACAATTGATTGAAAGCTGGGTGGTGATCACTGTCATGTGTTTCAATTCCTTCTTACTGTAGATTGAATGCCATCGACCAAGTTGCAATGTGGCCACTAGTTTAGGTGACTCGATATTGCGTGCACTGTGTTGAGATAAGATGGTGGTTAGAGGTAGTCAACAGGAAACCCTGGACCCGAGTTTCGTGCTATTTGGCACTCGTCAGCGGGGTGCACCTGTCATCTTGAGGGAACTGTTGCTCCCTGGCGGATCTGATCCCATCAGGTCGGTCTCGGCCCGGATAGCTCAGTAGTAACGTCTCTGACTGTGAAGCAGAGTAACACGGGATCGAATCTCTTATTGTCTTGGCTCTTTTAATGCTACTCTTTGTATCTGGTCGTCGCTGATTGTTATGTCGGAAACGCTTATCGCTTATACTCGGAATGAGGGACCGCTGCAATTCCCACGACGAGAAATTAAGAACACAAATACTGGTATACCTGATGATTTATTAACCCCGAAATATGACGACGACAACTCTAGTAGAAAATACACTCATTTATATATTGATTTTACACCCATTTTGATGAATAATTAGGATGAAATTACATATATGAAAAATACTTAGAGTTATAACAAATCACATACTAAGCGTAGTTTGTCAATTAAATACAAGAAGATCGTATATTATACAGAATAAAATATCATACGGGAAAAGAATAAAAATACTACATTAAGTAATCATTACATTGAATCAAAACGGAAGTAATCTTGAACTAAACTCATAATGAGTAAATCAATTGAAAATTGACTTTTTCCATCATATATCTAAATACTTATATCCAAATCGATGAAAACCTAAATCATCGTTAATCTTCGGCAATACGTTTTCTATATCTGCCACAATGAAAAGTAGCATAATTAAAAGCAATACTTATACATTATTCACGGTAAGTACGGAATAGGTAACTCTGTAGGCAATAATAAAACATTACCTCCGATGCATTACGAAATCACAATCTATAATATTTACCAAACTCGTCTATAAATAATCTCAATGTTAAACATTTTACTAAGATCGCTTTTTTATTAAAAAAAAAAAATACATAAACTTATTTGCCTGTTTGCTTTCATTTGACTTGTTAACACTATAAAGTGAAAGTCTTTAAAACTTCTAATAATGAATAAAACCTTTAGAATGTAAAATCAATAATGTGAATTAATGTCGCGCCACGTTTTTTCTACATTTCACGTAATTTAAATCAGTGTTATTCTACTGATTTCTTTCAATAAAACGTGGAAATACTTGTTCAGATGGTGGTTGGAGGTAGTCAACAGGAAACCCTGGACCCGGGTTTCGTGCTGTTTGGCACTCGTCAGCAAGGTGTACCTAGACTGGTGGCCACATTGCAACATGATCGATAGCATTCGACCTGGACTAATAAGGACTAGACAAACAAGACATTGATCACCACCCAGTGATCAATCAATTGTAATAGAAATACTAGTTTTATTATCGAATGAATACTGAAGAAAAAAATATTCATGTTGTATCAAGCTCTTTTACTCAATTCTTACCTATGAAACAACGTTAATATTGAAGATGCCACAGGTATTCGGAGTTTGACAACGCTTTAACCAGTAACACCTTCTAGTATGAAGCGTACACATCAAGTGAAGTCAAAAGACAGAAGTGAGGAGGTTCAAAGATATATTTGATAGACTATCAGCATATCGAGGATCGTCTGATCTAATCTGACTAGCGATTGCAGAGGATGTTGAGCACGGCGTTCCCACTCGTGATCTGGTATGGATGCATGACCGAGTGCCTTCAGCTAGGTGAGTCTATTAAAACTGATGTTGTCAGCATCGAATGTCAAAAACTTACAGAGTTATTTATTTGGGGGGGGGGTTATTTACCGCTACAATATCTATTGTCGATTGACTTTGAAAAACGTCCAAAACTTTTTTTTTCTCTCATCTTATGAACAATAGTTTTAAAGATTGAAATAGTCTAACCAAGTCTGATTTACATCTGAATCTTTAACATGCTGTATTGTCAGTTTATTCTGATGATTACATTTTCATTAGAGTTCAAATAGCATTGGGCTTAGTCACCGAAAAAATTTATAAAAAAAAACCTTTTTTTCCGTAATTAAATAACATTAAACCATTGTCATCATAGTAATGTTTAATTGTACAGCTATTTTGTTTGTTCGTTTCTTTTTGTCGATTCTTTTTTTCGTCTTTTGACACAATAATACCATCTCAAAAGTATATATTTATGATGATTGTGAACAATCAATTCTATGTTAAGAATTATTTGATAGATTTTACCGATATATATATATATATATATACTTCGTTTTATATAAATGAAAGTAATTTGTATCAAATTAGGTCAAAGTTGACAGTTGATTTCTTTTATTCATTTACATCATTTTCAAATGTTTTACAAACTTAAATTGATTGGCTATTTGTTATTATTATTTTAAACCATTACAATTAATAAACAATGGGTTTTTCTTTCTTTCTTCAAAAACTTTCAATTTCAGTAAAGTTACCATTTCATTCATGTCAGTAATATAATTTTTTTTTAAAAAAAAACAGATTGTCCTGATGAAGAATACAGCTGACATTTATGTCATGTTTGAAATCAGAAAATTTATCATCATCTCTTATTAGGATTTTTTTAAAAACGTTACGTTTATCCTTAGGTACATCTTTGTTTGTATTGGTAAACGATTCACTGACAAATGAATTGATTTTTCAAGTATCCCGTATTATAAGCAGAATTTGACTTTCCTTTATTTAATCTTAGTTGGAATCATTCATGATGAGTATACTTGAAGAGCTCCAAGCTAGTTTAAAATAGTTTGTTAGATTTGTTATTCATTTAACATGAAAGTCACTATCAAACTATGCGACATTTACACTCTCAAATATTTCTTAATAGAGGTTACGGTAAGTTTACTTTCTCAACGAAAATATTCTTGAAACCATGGCGTATTCAAAATATTGTTGTACAAAATAACGATATTGCGATTGTTTTACAAATTAAAAACTATACATATTAGCATTATTCAGAAGTTGAGAAAAGCTGGAGTATTTTTCGAGTTAGTAGAAATTCAATAGAAAGCATTTTATTAGTTGAATTCATAAGTCATTTGAACCTATATCACCATGGAAAACCTGGAAGCACTGTATGACTGTTTCATCCTAGTATAGGACTCCGAAAAACTGCGCATCCACGACATCTTCCGAGGACCTATGGGTCTTGCGCCCTAACGCTTAACCTGTAGACAATTGAGCTGGCATCCACCGATGTTCATGTCCAACTTCAACCAATCCACGAAATTTCGCCACTGTTCGAAAGGTCCTAGATTCGAATCCCGCAAGGCGGGATCGTGTATTCACACTGCTGATAAGTCCCATACTAAGGAAAAACAACCATCCACTACTTCCAGATATTCCATGGTGGTCTAGCTTTAAATAACTCATGAATTTAACTAATAAATTACTATAATCCCCATAAAAACACCTCTTTGATTATAAAAAGCATATTCATAAACTTAACCGAATTCATACAAGAACATTTAAATGATTCACTGTATTTTATGTTCACTACAGAATTATTCATCTAGTGTCATCGGAAAATTTCACTTCACTTAAAAGAATTAATAAAGTTTTCTTTTAGAAAAAAAACTTCTTTTTTTACAGCTTATGTTAATACTCAAAAACACTTAGTAAGAAAAAAAAACGAAGTATATCAATAGAAGTAATTTTACTAAAATCATTAAGTGTTTACCTTTCCATGATTTTAACAACTACACATAGTGTTGAATTTATGCAACTGACATAAATTGTACTTCATTTTTTTCAATTAATGTTTTGCTACTTTTTTTCAAGCTTAGATTTTTTCATATTCATTCATGACTACTGTCTAACGATATTATATATAAAGATAAATATTTCAATTTATTTAATAGTTTGTAGTGAAATTGAACTAACATATATTTAAATACTAATATCTTACGAATTATTTATTTATTTGAATACATAGATATTGGTACAAGGAGGCATTAAATACATATGCGCCACACAAATCTCATTTGATTTGTGTGGGAGCTGTGATACTGCGTGGGTGCCCAAACTGAAGCAATTGATTTTCTTAAGGGGCGAGATCCGGAGCCTTTGACCTAAAGGGTTGATCCACAAGGCACTGGAGTATCGTAAGGAGATGCAGTTCCATGGTAGCCCGTGACAAACGACTAGTTTATATGCCATTTGTTCCTTCAGGATACTGGAGCCCATGCGCACCATCAGTTGAAAATGATGGTTTTCGAACTCCTTTAAATGGACTCTCCGTGTCCACTAACCCGGTTAAAGAGCCAGACATTCTCTTTTCGTACTCTCAATTTCGTAACAACATCCCCGTCACGAGAAGGCAATGAGTAGGACTTCGTTGGCAGAGGCTATATACGCGTGGCCATGTGAGAGCATTTGGAGAGGAAGAGTGGACTCTCTCCACTCTCAGCAGTACCAGGGCATTTGGAAGCAATATCTTACAAAAAGGATTTTTCTCTAAATTGTAGAATTATACTACGATCAATAAAAACGACAAAATATAACATTATTGATTAATCATTTATTTGTACAATTGTAATGTGTGCTACAAATGTCAACATATATAAGTAGCATGTATCATCAATCGAAAGTGAAGTGTTGGGCGTTAGAAAGGCAAGAAATCGGAAAAGAAGAAGAAGAAGAAGAAGAAGAAGATGATGATGATGATGATGATGATGATGATGATGATGATGATGATGATGATGATGATGATGATGATGATGATGATGATGATGATGATGATGATGATGATGATGATGATGATGATGATGATGATGATGATGATGATGATGATGATGATGATGATGATGATGATGATGATGATGATGATGATGATGATGATGATGATGATGATGATGATGATGATGATGATGATGATGATGATGATGATGATGATGATGATGATGATGATGATGATGATGATGATGATGATGATGATGATGATGATGATGATGATGATGATGATGATGATGATGATGATGATGATGATGATGATGATGATGATGATGATGATGATGATGATGATGATGATGATGATGATGATGATGATGATGATGATGATGATGATGATGATGATGATGATGATGATGATGATGATGATGATGATGATGATGATGATGATGATGATGATGATGATGATGATGATGATGATGATGATGATGATGATGATGATGATGATGATGATGATGATGATGATGATGATGATGATGATGATGATGATGATGATGATGATGATGATGATGATGATGATGATGATGATGATGATGATGATGATGATGATGATGATGATGATGATGATGATGATGATGATGATGATGATGATGATGATGATGATGATGATGATGATGATGATGATGATGATGATGATGATGATGATGATGATGATGATGATGATGATGATGATGATGATGATGATGATGATGATGATGATGATGATGATGATGATGATGATGATGATGATGATGATGATGATGATGATGATGATGATGATGATGATGATGATGATGAAAAAAAGAACAAGAACAAGGAATGACGTTTGTAGTAATGAAAGTATAATCGAATTTGAAATAAATGTTTAACATTTTTCTCTCAAATGAATTCTATGTATTCGAATATATATATATTCGATTGTCCTCACTTGTGTTCTGGTTCATTACATTATAATAAACACATTAAGAACTGCTCTATTCATTCATTAAAAAAATTAATATTTCTTAATTCATATTCTTATTATTTATAAAATGAAACGAGTTATTATTTAATTTTATTAAATAAGCATAAATTATAATCGAACTTTATATATAAAATGAATTGAAATATTTAGATAGATATATTGGAAGTTAATTAACCTATTTATAAGGTCACTTTCTACATTTATATGTATCTATGATATTGAGAGAGTGATATAAAGATGTAGAAAGACAATGATATAAATAATGAATGTTTAATTAAATTTTTCACTACACTATATGAAATGGTAGTGATTAAAAAAATACAAAAAAAATATTTATTTTTATTTTTAGTATACAAAACTTCATTTGAATATACATTAAAAGTACCATTGATTCATGTAAAATTTTAATTTTAAATATGAAATGTCCTTAATTATTTATAAATTCGTATAATATTCGAATGATTAAATTTAATGTCAGATGGGTTTTGTGAATATTATAGTAATTTCAATAGTTAGAATCATGACCAGTGGATTTCAACAAGATCTGTTTTGAGATAGTAACTCACTGAAGACAATGGTGGATGTGTCGCTCAATTTCGTGGATTAGTTGAAGTTAGACATTAACATCGTTGGATGCCGGCTCAGTGGTCTAATGGTTAAGTGCTCGCTCGAGAAACCAGTAGGTCCCTGGTTCGAATCTTGCAGGGGGCGAGGTCGTGAATGCACACTGATGAGGAGTCCCATACCAGGATGAAATGGCCATCCAGTGCTTCCAGGTTTTACATGGTTGTTTAGCTTCAAATGACTCGTGATCTTAACCATTAAAATTAAATTAATTATTATATAATAATCATTTATATTAAATTAAATAATAATAAAAAGTATTATAAATGTACTCTGATAGGATTTACAATAATCAACATTAGATATATTGTACTTCATTTTAGATAATAAAAAAGTAATTCATCAGGTGTTAATTCAATGTTATATTATTCTATCCCAATGAGAATTATGAATGATAACTTTTGAGAAATATTTATGGAATAATATGATACGTATATATTTATCGCATAATTATTAAGTAATTAAATGATGAATATTCATATTCCTTTTATTAAAAGCTTGATTTTGACTTATAAACTATTATTATACGGTTTACTGTTCTTCAATTATGTTCGATCTATTAATTATGGTCTCCTACATTCATAGCAATTTTCGGATAGATATTATACAAATGTTATTTTCTATTCTATGGTACGATGTGGTCTGTTTAGTTTGTATATAAACCCAATATGTTTGAAATATATGATTTACATCACAGAGGCTGAGATTGGTGTTCTGGACTGAACAGGTAGAGTTAGCCAAGAAGAAGGATTGATAAGGACTCTAGACTTATGATACAGGTCTATGCGCCATTGATCTGGTTGATAAGCCACTGTTCCTTAATTGGCGGTATCACTGCGTTATATATTAATAAGGCACAAAGCCACAAAATATAACATATACAAAGTAGGAGTGTTTTAGTATGCTTAAATACTCAACCATGACAAATGCAAGACTAATAGGTCCTGGGTTCGATTCGTGGATGTGTACTTCTGAGGAGTCCCACAATTAAACGAAATGGCCATTTAGAACTTTCAAGTTTTCCATGATGGTCTAGGTTCAATTGACTCATGATCTCAACTATTGGAATTACTATAATATCCACAAAACACCTTCTGATATGAATCAACATATGCTCACTAGTGACTGACTTCAAGAGGTACTTTCTGGAGTTCTTGTGAGAAGCAGTTATCAGTAGAGTTCAACAAGGTCTGTTGTGAGATATCGACTCACTGAAAGTAGTGGTGGATGTGTCACTCAATTTCGTGGATTAGTTGAAGTTGTACATTAACACCGTTGGATGCCGACCAATTCATTGGTTTAGTGGTTGAGCTCTCGCACACGAGACTGATTGGTCCTGAGTCCTAATCTCGCGGGGGTGGGGCGTGATCGCGGATGTGCACTGATGAGGCGTCCCACAATAGGACGAAACGGCCATCCACTGCATTCAGGTTCTCCATGGTGGTCTAGCTTCAATTGACCCATGGTCTTGACTATTGAATTTGCAAACAAAAAAGTGAATAAAATTATTTTGAAACCATTTTTATGGGTATGGATGAATTATCTTGCTAGTAAAGTTAATTTTGTATCTAAAATTTCTACATGTATTGGAATTTTATGCATTCAGTAATATCAATGTATATGCAGTGGTGTTCTTTAGTGAACTCTTTTTCAAACCAATAATTACACTGATTTTTAGAAGAAAATTTTAAAGGGTAACCAACTTTTGTTGCTTTCAATATGTATAGTGATAGACAGATTTGTAGCTAGTTTTACGTTTTCGTAGACTAATATGATGTGTGTTTAGGTTAGTTGTAAAGGCATATCAGTTCAGTTAAGCAATTATTTAACTAAAGTCAGAAATCTTGAACAGAATGTTATGAACATGTATGAAATGAAAACAAGGTTCAGGAAAGTTGATTAAAGCAGTATAAAACGAGTATGGGAATCGACCTTGCATTAGTAAGCAATCGTAAATAGTTTGACAAGTGAAAATAATATGAATCACGTTCAACCAGCTAAAATAGAATTATGAGCTATGAAAAACAATATAATAATGCAATCAAGTGAGGATTATGAAATATGGTCTAATAAAATCAGAGTTGTTTTCAGGTTAATGGAAAACTGAAAATTGGTTACTTTTGGACACATAAACTAGGTTCCTAGCCTTTTACAATATCCGCGTCAGAGAGTTTTTGAGGTGCGTTTTTCTTTATTAAACACTGAATTATTTCAAAGTAACTATCTGTTTATGTAGTGTTGCTGGGATGTCTAGAAATCGAGCTTTGAAAGATTTTCATTCCTATTAAGCGATGTTTTGGAATATATCCATAGAACTATTTTGTGTGATGCAAACGAGTAGGGGTAACACGAGAAACGTATCTGTTTTTCTTCAGCTACTCAAGAAAATATTTCTCATATGAGATAACCAATTTAGCCGTATTATATGTTCTGGGTAAGGTTGTGTTTAGTCTTCTTTTGATTATCACCACAGTATCATAAGCTTTAGAATTATATATATGTTCATGAGCGTTATTGTAAAGCTCTTATAAGTGATTCGTATGTTTGGGATTATTATAAACGATAAACCTACCATCAGCATACCTGGAATAATGTTTCAATTCATCAATTAATTTTTCATTTTCAGAATCAAAGTTAAACGGAGTATACCCATGAAGACATATAATAAGGAAGATTGGTTCAGCAAAGAGTTCTCTTTTTGGCGAATTCATTTTCAAAGATGTGTAATCGCAATTATATACTCATTTTTCAAGATGATAATAAATATGATAATAGTGATAATAAAATAGGGTTAAACATAATAACAGTGAGGTAGCATAAACGAAGGTATTAAAACATTATTTTTATAAGAGAAACTAATAATAGTTTTACTGTTAAAAGCTTGAATATTCATCACGAAGACAGATAGGGATATTATAATTATGAAAGGAACGCTCAGCACAATAAGAGAAAATGTTGCAATTAAGATAAACTGTAGTCAGGAGGATCATAGAAACAGAAATAAACCAGTTAGGAGTAAAAGGTCTATAAGTAGAATAGAAGGTGAAGCATATGGCTGTGAAGAAAGGAAAGTATGAGGAAGAAAGAAAATTGTGAGGTATTGAAACCATTGTAGAAGAAGAGGTTGTACCAATTAATTTTTGACACATAATTTTGGTTTTTTCAGATGTATGACTGTTGTTTGAGCAACGTTAAGCAGTTACAATATAACTGCTTTTGGCAACCCTCTACTTACCTTGTAGATGACATTGTTTTCAGAATCCGCATTGATGGAGTGACCTGTGTCCACAAGTTGTTCGATTATTTAGCTTCTTATTGAACCGTTCCCGCTTCTCTTTAGCCAAGCCGGGTATTGTTCTTGAATTTATTTTAAGCAAAACACACATTCTACGACCTATATACATGGCTTCAAATGAGCAGGTAAATTTATAAATGCACAAAGAATTGATCAGATGAGATAATTTGTCACAGAGACTATTGGTGAAGATTGATCGGCTAGAGAACACTATTCTCAAGGTTGCTGAGAAAAAAATTCTTTTTGGAAAATCGGAAATCCTTCTCTTTAGGACGTCTGCAACTCTATCATCCTCGAAAATGATGTTCATGTAAAGTTTTTTCTTCTCAACCAAGAATACTTGTGCTTTAGGTGTTTTACGTTTCCTTTTCTTGTCAATAAGTGTCGAAGAATACCCGTTTTTGAAAAGTCCTTTTTTCGGGAGGCTTAGTTCATTACTCGTGACCTTAGGACTACAAATTCTTCCTATTCACATAAGGAGTGATATGATCAGGTATTTGCCAGTGGGTAATGGGGACGTAGCTATGAAAACTTGATAGCTGGCCATTACACAAGAGTTACCTGTAAATAGATCTTCTCAGGGTTCCGTTGTGTTTTCATGTCATTTTGACAACAATAAACTAAATACTTTGTTTGTTTTCAACTTCAAATGTGGAGTTTATTGCTGGGTGAGAGTTATTAAATGTCTTTGAGAGAATCATATTTGTTATCACTAATGATAAAAATATAATCCACGTACTGTTTATACAAGTGGGAGTTGTCGATAGTCGTTTTAAGTTGGCTTTTTTCTGGACTATCTAAGAAGTAATCTGCAAGTAATGAACCAAGAGATCATCCGATTGCTGTGCCATCCTCTTGCTTACGAATCACGTCGTTGAATGTGAACTGTACAAGTGTGTCGAAGTTCCTTCAAACAACCTTCTGATATTCTGATACTAATCTCGTTATTATTTATGTATTTGCAAATAAAACTGATGGTCTCTGTGAGTGAAACA